GTGCCATGCTCTGGGGCTTCCTGTGAACACTGTTATTCATAATCACTGAGGCCACTATGTTATTGGCATTTTCTATTTATGCTTCAGTGAATAGAACAAAGTCCCTGTTCTCATCAGGCTTGCATCTTGGCTCAGAGAGGCAGACTATAAACAAGGAAGTGCGCCCACACGTGTGTGTGTGTGTGTGTGTGTGTGTGTGTGTGTGTGTGTGTGTGTGTGTGTGTTTGTGTGAAGCATTTCACAAGGTAACTAATGTGATGGAGAGAAATGAGAGTGGTCAGGGAAGGCCTCACTGATAAGGCAACATAAAGACAAAGATTCAAAGAAGCTAGATTAAGGAATCATGGAAATCCCTAATTTAAATAACTATCTAAACTATTAAGTGACATGCACTAATGGAAAGTGCCTAACCTGGAAACCTTGTAGAAGGTCACAGTGGGGGTTTTGGGAAAAGTCCCTATTTCTCTCTTGGGGCCTACCCAGATTGCTCTCCAGCAGGTTTGAACAGGCCCAGCCTTATTATTATTGTTATTATTATTATTATTCTTTGAGGCTTCATGTCAGGGTACCATGCCCTGGAAGGGAAGGGTTCTTGGGGCCACAAAGCAATTACAGACTTCAAAGATCACAGGCCTGTATCCTTGAAGAAGTGAGAGAGGGGAATAGGATAACTGGCCAGAAATAGTGCTGGGGCATCCCTTGCAACTCTGCCTTATCTTACAAAAGCCGAAAAACGTCAATTCCACTTCCTTACCTTTTGCGTTTATACCCTTTGCAGACTATGGAGAAAAGTCCATCTTATTGTCTCAACAGATAAGAAAGGCAATCAGTAGGAATTAGACTTTGCTGCACATTAGAATATCCTGGGAGCTTTTAAAATTTTGATACCCAGGTTGCTCCCCATACTAATTAAGGCAGAACCCCTGGGAGTGAGACCCAGATATCAGTATTTTTTAAAACACCCTATGAGAATGCAGGGCCAAGTAATAGTAGTGAAGTTGAGCCTACTAACACAAGATCATTTGCATATTCCTTTGATAAAAGAAGAAATATATCTGATCTTTCTTCCAAGTTCCTGGCTCAGAGTGTCAAGAAAACGCTTGGAATTTCTTGAATGTTTAGAGTTTCTTTTGTTACATGAACAAGCCCCTTCACACTACACATGAGTTTATGTTAATGATATGACTCAAGGTGGGCTCTTAGATAGCTTCAGGGGAAGAACCAGCCACAGCAGAGAGGCCAAACACGTATTTGAGCATTGTAACTTCCAGCCACACCTCTGACCACTGGAGAGGAAACAGGGGACTGGAGATTAAATTTAGTCATGTGGCCAAGAATTTAATCATGTCTCTATAATGAACCCTGTAAAAACAGCAAGGTAGCATAGCCTGACTCCATAGGGACAGATGCTCCTGCATTTAGGACCTCCCTACACGTTGTTCTATGTACCTGTTCTTTTGTAATCCTTTATAATCCTATCTAATAAAAGAGAAACATGGTAATTAGCCATAACTTTGCTACCTTTCCCATTGGCTAATCAGGGCAATATGCAAATTAGCTGCCAACAAAGATGGTGGCCAGCAGCCAAGCAACTGACACGAACAGGAGGCTTGCTTGCTCCAGTGACGGAGGAAGCCAAGGTTCCCCGCCTGCTGCTGCTGGGCTCTGAGCTGCTCTCTAAGAAACATTGTTACAAATATAGAAGCTAAACAAAACCCCAGATACCTGCTTTCAGCAGGCTGGGATCTCAGAGCTGGAGTCACAACAAAGTTTCAAATACAGAAGGTAAACAAAGCCCAGAAACCTGTTTTCAGCAGCCGAGGTCTCACAGCTAAAGCCAGCTCTCAACTCCAGTGACAGCCATAGAAGGTAAATAAATTCCAGAATAAAAAAAAAAAAAAAGGAAAAAAGGAGCAGTTGGGAGCTTCAGTCACCCGCCAGCCTGAAAACGGCCATCAGCCCCTCACCCAGACTGGCCAGGAACCCCAGTGGGGACCCCCACCCTGAAGGGGGTGTGACCAGCTGCAAACAGCTCTCATCCCCTCACCCAGGCTGGCCAGGCACCCAAGCGGAACCCCCACCCTGATCCAAGACACCCTTCAGGGCAAACCAGCCGGCCCCCACCCATGCACCAGGCCTCTATCCTATACAGTAAAAGGGTAATATGCCTCCCAGCACCACAATCAGTGGAGCCACAAGGCCTCCCAAACCCGGGATCAGCGGAGCCGTGAGGCCTCCTAGCACCAGGATCAGCAGAGCTGCAAGGCCTCCTAGTACCGGGATTAGCGAAGCAGCGAGGCCTCACTGCCCCTGTGTCAAGCGAAGCCATGAGGCCTCCCAGCACCGGGATCAGTAGAGCAGCGAGGCCTCCTGGCCCATGGAGCAGTGTGACAGGAGGCAGCGCCCAAACCCCCTGATTGCCCTGCAGCTCTGTGTGTGACAGGGGGCAGGGCCACAACCTCCCTATCCGCCCTGCTCTGTTCGTGACAGGGGAAGGCGCCCCAACCCCCTCATTGGCCTTGCTCTGTGCCTGATAGGGGGGAGTTCCCCAACCCCCTGATCAGCCCTGCTCTGTGTGTGACAGGGTGTGGTGCCCCACCTCCCCATGGGCCCTGCTCTGTGTGTGATGGGGTGGAGCCGCAACCTCCCCATCGGCCCTGCTTTGTGCGTGACAGGGGGCAGCACCCCAACCCCCTGATCGGCCGGCTCTGTATGTGACAGGGGTGGCACCACAACCCCCTGATCCGCCCTGCTCTGTGCGTGACGGGGTGGTGCCGCAACCTCCCCATCGACCCTGCCTTGAGTGTGACAGGGGACGGCGCCCCAACTCCCCATCGGCCTTACCCTGAGCGTGACTGAGGGGGTGGCACCTCAACCTCCTGATCGGCCCTGCTCTGTGCATGATAGGGGGGAGCTCCTCAACCCCCTGATTGGTCCTGCTCTGTGGGTGACAGGGGGCGGCGCCCAAACCTCCCCATCGACCCTGCCTTGAGTGTGAAAGGGTACGGAGACCCAACCCCCCTGATGGGCCCTGCTCTCTGTGTGACAGGGGGGAGCTCCCCAACCCCCTGATCGGCCCTGCTCTGTGCATGACAGGGGGGAGCTCCCCAACCCCCTGATCGGCCCTGCTCTGTGCATGATAGGGGGGAGCTCCCCAACCCCCCAATCGGCCCTACCCTGAGCGTGAATGAGGGTGGCATCACAACCTTCTGATCCGCCCTGCTCTGTGTATGACAGGGGTGGCGCCCCAACTTCCCAATCAGCCCTGCTCTGAGCTCGACCAGGATCTGCAGGGCAGGCACCTAGGGATTGGGCCTGCCCTCTGCCACCCAGGAGCGGGCCTAAACCAGCAGGTCGTTATCTCCCGAGGGGTCCCAGACTGTGAGAGGGTACAAGTGGGGGGAGGGGTGTCCCCCAAATTTTTGTGCACCGGGCCTCTAGTAAAATAATAATCATTAATATAGCACCTTCCTGAGCTCTGTACATCATTCTGACAAATTATTGAACCTCAGTGTATTGTGAAAAGCCCCAAATTTGTAGTCAGCTGGACAGTAGTGCAGGTGGTATGGGGATGCCTGAAATTTGTGGCTGCCATCTAAAATGGGGACAGTCTTGTAAAAAAATACTGCCCTTAATTTATAGGTAGTTAGTGCAGTCACTGAGTTGGGTAGTTAGTGCAATCACTGAGTTGAACTTCAAGAACCCTCCCAATTGTTATCAGAGACTTGGTGGCAGCACATACTTCCCAACTCTGTGTTCAGTGATTTCATATTGGCAGCTGAAAATCAGCCATAGTGAGAGTATTTACACTGTGGCAAATGGCAAATGCCGTAAATCAGGGCTAACCCTCTCTCTGCCTCTGAGAACTGGTTGTTAACCCTTTATCAGCACGCCACTGTTTAGAACCAGTAGCTTGGATCATTAGACACTTATTAAGAAACTAGAGGCCTGGTGCACAAAAATTTGTGCACTCGCAGGGGGGAGGGGAGGGCGTGTCCCTCAGCCCCACTTGTGCCCTCTCACAGTCTGGGACCCCTCAGGAGATAACGACCTGCTGGCTTAGGCCCGTTCCTGGGTGGCAGAGAGCAGGCCCAATCCCTAGGTGCAGCCCCTGGTCGGGCTCAGAGCAGGGCCGATTGGGGGTTTGGGGTGCTGCCCCCTGTCACACTCAAGGCAGGGTCAATGGGGAGGTTGCGGCGCCACCCCCTTTCACGCACAGAGCAGGGCCCATCAAGGGGGTTGGGGCTCCGTACCCTGTCACCCACAGAGCAGGGCCGATCAGGGGGTTGGGGCACTCCCCCCTGTCACACTCAGGACAGGGCCGATGGGGAAGTTGCGGCTCCACCCTGTCACACACAGAGCAGGGCCGATTAGGGGGCTGGGGAGCTCCCCCCTGTCAGGCACAGAGCAGGGCTGATCAGGGGGTTGGGGTGCCTTCCCCTGTCACGACAGAGCAGGGCAGATAGGGAGGTTGTGGCCCTGCCCCCTGTCACACACTGAGCCTCAGGGCGATCAGGGGATTTGGACGCTGCCCCCTGTCATGCTGCTCCAGGGGCCAGGAGGCCTCGCGGTTCCGCTGATCCCGGGTTCAGGAGGCCTCGCGACTCCGCTGATCCTGGTGCTGGGAGGCATATTACCCTTTTACTATATAGGATAGAGGCCTGGTGCATGGGTGGGGGCTGGCTGGTTTGCCCTGAAGGGTGTCTTGGATCAGGGTGGGGGTCCCGCTTGGGTGCCTGGCCAGCCTGGATGAGGGGATAGGGCTGTTTGCAGCTTATCACACCCCCTTCAGGGTGGGGGTCCCCACTGGGGTGCCTGGCCAGTCTGGGTGAGGAGCTGAGTGCTGTTTTCAGGTTGGCGGGTGACTGAAGCTCTGAACCTCTCTTTTTTTTCTTTTCTTTTTTTAATTCTGGGATTTATTTACCTTCTATGGCTGTCACTGGAACTGAGAGCCAGCTTTAGCTCTGAGGCTGGCTGAAAGCATGGGGATTATTTAGCCTCTATATTTGCAACATTGTTTCTTAGAATGCAAGCTCAGAGCCCAGCAGCAGCAGGCGGGGAACCTTGGCTTCTTCCTTCACTGGAGCAAGCAAGCTCCTGTTCGCTTCAGCTGCCTGGCTGCCGGCCGCCATCTAGGTGGGCAGTTAATTTGCATATCTCCCTGATTAGCCAATGGGAAGCGTGTCGGAGTTATGGTTAATTATCATGTTTGTCTATTATTAGATAGGATGCTGAATAACCATGGCCGATGTTGTTCAGTGGTTAGAGTATCAGCCCACACACTGAAGGGTTGTGGGTTCCATTCCCGGGCAAAGGCATGTACCTGGTTTTAGGTTCATCCCTGATAGAGATGGGGCACTGTGTGGGAGGTAACCAATTAATGTATCTCTCTCACATATCTCTCTCTCTCTCTCTCTCTCTCTCTCTCTCTCTCTCTCTCTCTCTCCATTCTTGCCCTCTCACTCTCTCTAAGAATCAATGGAAAAAATATCCTTGGATGAGGATTAATAAACAAACAAAAAAGAAATGCTGGATAGAGCTTAGGCGGGCAGAGTCTGAACATACTGAAAATTCCCATTTCACGCCTGTTCATACGAGGCCAAAGTTGCTTATGAGTGAAGGTCAAATCTTCCTTCTGCAAATCCCTTCATAGAGTCCCACTTCAATGGGAGTTGTACCCAACCTGTTTATTATACTAATCTTCAATCAGTAGGCAAAATTCTACTTAAGAATGTTATTGGACGAAGTAGGGGGTCTTTTCCCCCACTGGGTGCTGGGGGTGGGAGATCTTACGATATTTTGAGAAAATGAATTTTCTGAGACTCACATGGGAGAATGAGTGATTTTTATTTGTGTGGAATTATATCCCTGAGTTTCTCAAGTCCCATTTCCCTTTGTTTAGTCATAGAAAAAGTGCAGCTAGGATTTCAAGAAAGCCAGAAGCAAAGACAGTGTCCAGAGTTGCCTTTCCATGTTGGACCTGGGTCCAGTTCAACATCAGGTTAGTTGCAGCCCATTAGTTCATTGTGTGCGGGCTCCACATGCCTGTGGGCCAGGTGGGTGAACACAGAGGATCCCCACAAGCCCAGAATCACAGGAGTCCCAGGAATCCCAAGAGTCCCAAGAGCAGTAAGAACATCAAAGAGTGAATTTCTTTGTTCAGGGGATTACATATCCTGAATTTCTGTCCTTGCAGTTGCCACACCCATTCTGGCCAATGACACTTGTTCTCAGGTGTGACTGACAGCAAGCACCTTCCCTATGTCCCCAACATTACTGAACATGTATCTATCTCCCTTTGGACCCATAGGGACTGTAAAGTTGTAGCTTCCTCATGAAGCTGCCCAAATGACATGCCTATAATGTCTGGCCTTCCCTTTTGTTCTTTTTCTTATTATGAATAATTAGGTTAATGACAATGCCATCGAGAAGACAATTCTGCTGTGTAATAAATCAGAGAGAAGCCATAATTACTTCTTCATGTCAACTTCCTGTATTAACTTTTCATGCTTCTTTCTTTTTCCTTTTGAATTGATAAGTTTGTTGTAGATCTTTAGAAGTGGGTGGGTCCTGTTCACATCTTAGCCTCAGTTTGACTCAAATCCCTTTCCGGGAACTCAGAAAAGACATTAGGAAATTCACTTAAATGCTATGAGTTTTCTGAGATAATTAACCCACCAGTTCAATTCCCTCCTGGAACTCTCCCCTTCCCCACTGCCCAATCTTCTTTAAGTTTTGTTCTAATTTGCTTAATATTTCATCTTTTCTGACCCATAATTCACTTAGGAGCAGGAACATGCATACATTGTTCAGGAAACCACTGTTTGGGAAATCTCTGACCCTTTCATATCCATTTTTCACTGTTTATTTAAAGCAGAGGTTCGGCTCTTCCCCTGACATTTGCATTTGGGGTTCAGTTGCATTCTTAAGGGATGTTAAAAATTTTGCAATATATTATAAGAATTGACTCACCTAAAGGAATGAATCATAGTAAGAATTTAATTAGGGTCTTGTGGGTGGGGAAGCAGGAACAACAGCTGGAAGACATGGAGACTTAAGAATGCAGTTCAAAGTAAAATGTGACTTCATAAAGAGATGCCCCCCATACACACACACACACACACACACACACACACACACACACACACTCACACACCCCACATACACATACACATACACCACTTCTTGTAGTTCCTCACATTAGAGCAAGCTAAACTAAACTCCTCCCGGGACTGGGGGAGTAGGGCAATAAGAAGATGTAGGTAAAAGTATACAACTTTCAGTTATACAATGAATAAAATCTGAATATCTAATGTATAACATGGTGACTACAATTGATTATATTGTATAATTGAAATTTGCTAAGAGTAGAAATTAAGTGTTCTCCAAAAACAAGAGCAAACATATGATGTGATGGATGTGTTACCTAACCTGATGGTGAGAATCCTTTTACAATGTTTACACGTATCAAATCATCACATATATTTTATATTATAATTGTGTTTGTCAATTATATCTCAATTAAGCTGAAGAAAAAGGCATCCACTTAGAGGTCTCTTACATACAACTTACCAAGCCTCTGCTAAGCCTCTGTTACCCTGATTTCTTCTTTATTTCCTCTTCCAGGCACCTTTGCTCAGAGCCTCCTTTCCCTTTCTCAAGCTTCCATCAGCTAGGGGAAATGATACACTTACAGCTAGGCTTAAGTTAGATTTAAAAACTGGGTTCTGGGTTGTGGGGCCTCTGTAGGAAGGTGCTGGGCAAGATTGCCATATTTCATCTCTCTTCCTTATTAGTGGGATTTAGCACCAACTTTCAATGTTCATTTGTACTTGGTTTCATTTCTGTTTTCCCTCTCTCTGTTAAATTTCTTTTTTAAAATATATATTTTTATTGATTTTTTACAGAGAGGAAGGGAGAGGGATAGAGTTAGAAACATAGATGAGAGAGAAACATCGATCAGCTGCCTCCTGCACACCCCCTACTGGGGATGTGCCCGCAACCACGGTACATGCCCTTGACCGGAATCGAACCCAGGACCCCTCAGTCCACAGGCAGATGCTCTATCCACTGAGCCAAACCAGTTAGGGCAAATTTCTATCATGTATATCAAAACTGTCTAATAGAAACATTCAAATTACATTAATTAGATAGGAGAGGGCATATCATGTGATAGTGCAAGTACAAGCTCTGGAATCAGACCTTGCTTCCCTGCAAGTTAGGAAACCCTTTGAGTCTGATAATTTATCTATACAACAGAGATAAGAAGAGAGGTTTGTCATTCATTAGTTAAGATAAGGCATGCAAATTGCATAGCACAGTACCTGGCACATAGAATACTATTTTCACGTTAGCTATAATTATGATTTATTTCAGAAATATTATTGCCAAACAAATAGGGGAGGGTAGTATAGCAGAGCCATGTACTCAGACCAACTGCAATATGTTTTCCGATTGTAGAGATCAGTAATGTATGATTTAAAGAAAAGAAAAAGACAATTGCCTCACCTCATCGTTGGCTGAGTTTCGATAGAATAACAACATTGAAAAATATTGCCCATTTGAAGAACTGGGATTCCTGAAGCACTTTTAATTTCCAAGTATGTATGCTTTTCAACGACAACTCTCAAAGCACCTGTGGTATTAAGCATTTCTCTTTCAAGAGAGCAGCATGCTTTCTTTAAAGCATATTCTTTTGCATCACGCATTGCCAAGGTGATTTTTTCCTGATCCCAACATGTGTTCTTACATCGTATTTAATTTAGGAAGATTATAACCAATGATCAGATCTAGCTCCCACCTGAATTCATCATCTTTATTTTCATATAAAGCTTTTTGATGTGTTTGTACTTTAGATTTCAAACATATTTATGAGTACCATTTATGGCTCACAAAAACCAAGAATCACTCACTCTCATAATTTTTCTCTTCTCCTAAATTGTCCCTAATGTCCCATGCAATCACTTTTTCAATATCTGTTTCCCTGATAGACAGGTTCTAAATTTTTACTAGTATTGTATACCACAATCTCCCCAGCAGCTAACACAATGCCTAGATCCTAGCAGACACTTGCCAATTCTTTGTAAAATTGTTTTGCACTGTTTTGTTTTCCCTGCTCCATTGATTATAAGCAGTGTTGTAATAAGCAGTGCTGTAAGCTACGGGGATAAGAAGCAACAGATAAAGGCGATGGCCCTTCCAGTCCTACCATACCTGTAATATTTTGCGTCCTGGAAGCTATCACTTGTAAACACCCCTGGTTTTGTTCGCACCCCAGTGACTCTAAGAAATGCATTGTGCATCTTCAAATAACGCAGCTGATATCCTGGCTCGTAGGCTGAGATGGAGGAGTTCAAGGAATTAGGATGATTCTCTTCTTCATTAAGCCCCGGCACTTCATCATCTCCTCCATGTCCCACCTACTAGTGGGAGGATGGAGACGAGGAAAGGAGGAAAGAAGCCAGTTGCTCATAGTCAGACAGGACTGAAAGCCTTTTACCCGTTTTAAAAATGGAATGAAAGCCCACAGAGAAAGAGAACCCTTTTTCAACCCCAGGCTCTGTTGTAAGCTCTTACCTATAGGTAAAGTAGCAGGCTGATGGGTGTGACCATTAACTGTGAGAGCATATTTATTGCTTGTATTGCTGACTTTGGCTGGGGAAAAGCCTTGTGGGGGAGCTCCAAGCAGTGCGTTGCAGTGGAGAGCTCATTGCTCCCCACCTAAGCATCCCTGCAGACAAAAATCTTCCTTACATGTCAGGAAAATATTTGTTTTTATTATTTAAATGAAGAGAACACTTTGGTTTCCCCTAAAATGAAAGTCACAGAGACCTCTGATTTTAATACACTTTAATATACAGATACTTGCAGGCTTTAGAAAATTTTAATTACAAGCAACTTTCAGAATTCTGCTGGGGTCATCATTCTAGCCTGAGGAATGACCATGACCTGACAAATCAAGACAGACTAACAGAAGATAAACTCTTTCCAAAAGAATCAACTAACCGCCAATTCCCAATATCTCTGAGGAGGATCCTGAAGTGAAAGTATCATATGAAGGTATCACATCTTCACATGCCAGAGGAGGACATAGGAGCTGAGGCTGAATTGCACGTTGAGAAATTCAGGCATGGTGTCTTCTGACTCCACACTGGCGCTCACAGGAACTTGTTTGCTCAATTCCAAGTGCAGCTGCAGGGTTATGGGGAGGTAGTTCCTGTTGTTTCTCTGTTGCTGTCTCTGTCTCTCTCTTAAGTTTACACAACAAAATCATTATTAACTCCAAAAAACAGTTCCTTTTACACTCTAAGAAGATGTAATGTCTCCTCTGTTTATTACAGAGATTCGCAACAGTGTGAAAACAGATTCTCTGAGAAATAGAGTTTTTACCTAATGAATATAAGTTAATAGCTTAGTGAGTGGCATTATCCTTTTTTAAGATTCAGATAAAAGCAAGGATGACTACAGCATTGTACTAGTATAGGGGTGAAGGAGCGGGGAGAATCTCTGGAAATGTGGATTCCAGATCAAGCTTGCCCACACTATTTTAGCAGTCTTAGAAAAAGAACTCCAGCCCCTACCCCCTTGCCCACCATGAGCCTCAGCTCCTTCATTGCACAATGAAGATATTGAGCTGTGGGTTTCACACTGCTTCCTAGAGGTTTGCAGAGCTCTCCCCAGGAGCCATTTAGGATAAAGGAAGAGAAAGAGTCAGGCCTGCTGCATCCCATCCAATATGTCCAGCCCCTGCTCACTTTCCTCTTATTAGACAAACAGGAGGCTTGTTCTCAGCAACAGAGATGTGCTCATAGACCAGACAGACAGATGCATCTGCAACACTGTTGTCTTGGTTTGAAGAGAGCATTTGAAATGCTTTTTCCTGTTTTTTTGTTTTTTGTTTTTTTTTTAAAGAATTACTATATATATGATGTAGCAATTTTACTTCTGTGTGTATATTGGAAAGAATTGAAAACAGGGTCTCAAAGAGATATGTGTACCCTCAGACTCATAGCAGTAATATTCACAGTAGACAAAAGTTAGAAACTACCCAAGTGTCCATGGATGGATAAAAGGATAAACAAAACATGGAATATACAGATAACGGAATATATTCAGCCTTAAAGAGGAAGGTAACTGTGGCATATGCTACAATGTGGATAAACATTGAGGGCATTATGCTATGTGAAATAAACTAGTCACAAAAAGACTAACACTGTACAGTTCCACTTATATGAGGTCCTAGGTTCCTCAAATTTATAGGGACAGAGAGTAGAATGGTGGTTTTCACGGGCTTGGGGAGGAGAATGGGAGTTACTGTCTGGCGGGCACTGAGTTACAGTTTTACAAGATGAAAAGAGTTCTGCAGATGGATGGTGGCGATAATAGCACAACAATATGTATGTATTTTAATGCCACTGAACTGAAAACGTAAAAATGGTTCAGATGGTAAATTTTATGTTGCATATATTTTTACCACAATTTTAAAAACTGCCCTTTTCAGTTGTTCCTATTTATAAAGAGCCTTATAATCTCTGTTGTACATAGTTGCATCTTAGCGACATTTTCAAGCATGATAAATCATTTTGCCAATGCTCCTCAACTCACCCAGACAATAGGCTCTTGTTCCCTCGGGAAAATCTATTTAGAATTGAGGTAACCAGACCAGATATATTGGCTGTGTTAGTCAGCGTGGGCTACTATAACAAATAGCACAGATTGGGTGGCCTAAACCACAGCTATTTATTTCTCACAGTTCTGAAGGTGGGAAAGTCCAAGATCAAGGTGCCAGCAGATTTGGTTCCTGGCGAGAGCTTTCTTTCTGGCCTGTAGACAGCAGCCTACTCACTATGTTCTCACATGACAGAGACGGGAAGTTCTGGTCTTCCTTCTTTTTCTTATAAGGGCACAAATTCCCTCATGAGGGTCCCACCCTCACTACTTCATCCAAATTTAATTACTCCTAAAAACCCCCCTCCAATACCATCATACTGGTAGTGTGAATTTGAGGGGAGGACATAAACTTTCACTTCATAACATTGGCTAAATTTACAATTTATGAGATAGAGGTTATAGAGGAAATGACACTCTGTGTAAAGCTTGGGGGGGGGGGGGATGTTGAAGAATCCCAGTATCTAAAGTCAAGTTTATTCCCCACTTCCAAAGTAAACAACCATATTTGAGGAAGCCACGTTAAGTCAGTAAAGATGACAATGCTGTCAAAAACGATCCATCTGGATTATTAAGAAATCATCACTGATTATTATCCCAAATTCCACCAAATAAAACTTTATATCCTGGATTTAAGTTTTGAGCCCTAAGAAATTGGAAATATGCTGATTTATTTGTCCTTGACATTTCTTTATATAACCAGACCCTTTCTGCTTTCTTCTAAAAGGAGGTTGTGACAAGGAATAAGCAGAGGGAAGTAGTGAGGAGAGCATTTCTGCCTGAGAGGCAAGGAAGGAGGAGAATAGTTGTGAACGGGGAGGGAACCAGTACAGGTAAGATGGCCTGGGTGTCACAGACTTCACACATTAAATCAAGACCAGCCTAATCATACATTCATTTCAGATCTTCCTTCCAACAATACGATGATCTCAGAATCAATACAGTTGAAATTTACTTCACTAAAGCATTGGAGAATTTCTTTAAGTCTTGAAGGTCAAAGCAAGTCCCTAAGAGTAATTTAGATGCATCCAGAGTTTTAACTCTTTTTCCATGGCATTATGTTGCCTTTTGGTGCCCTACACACACACACACACACACACACACACACACACACACACACACACACACACACTGTTGATTTTGTAGCTAGAGCTTTACTGGTTGAATTCTCAGTATTTTCATGAAATCATATGGTGTTATTTGGGGACATAAAAAATAAAGATCAAGTGGGAGCCTGAACACTTGAAGTGGTGAGCATGTTTCCATGAGAACAGGTAGTTCTTATAAACAAAAATGTGAACTGAACATGGTGAGAACTTGACCTGTGGACTCAGAAGAATCACCCCTTATCCTAGAGCCCCAGGTTATGGAAGTCAAGGCATCATCAGAAAGCAAAGTTTTAGTGGGGGCCACATCATCTGCAATAAAACTTTTAAATTGCATGTGGCTGTTTCTAGAGTTCCAATGCGTGGCATCTGCACTTGCCTTTTGTGGCGATTCTCTGGAGCTATCAGCCTAGAGAAAAGCTAATAAATCATCCCGCATTGCATCTTGGTACTGGGACAATAGTTTTGATAATGCCGGGGCTCTGAGACGGTGAGGCGGTGTTTCTTTGATTGCTTGTGAGAGTGCTGCAGAAACATAATTTCATTTATTAGAAGCAGACAGCCTATAAAATGGTGTGAAACAACAGGTGCCAGCAGAAAGCTGGAGGCTCTAATGAGGTGCCTGGACACTTGGGTCTGGAAAAGGCAGAGATACAACCAATGCCGTTTACATTTCTCTTTAGACGCAAATCAATCAGAGCCTTCAAACCAGATTGTCCCAGCACGCTACTGCGAGCAGTTTTCATCTAAAGTTATTGATGATTTTGCTTTCAACCAAGAAAAAGGATGAAATGGAGGAAAGCTGTGTGCAGTGCAAAGACTTGGAACAAACAGGAATATAAGACGAAGCTGAAAGAAAAATAAATAATCAGAGTATACCCAGTGACACTTCAGTTGGCAAATGAAGTGTTGCACACACATAATGACATTTTCCAGATAAGGGAAGTTCATCCATTCCAGAACACAGGCTTTAAAAATCGTAACCATTTTTATGAAGGATAAACATAAACTCTCTCTACTCTCAAAAACAAAGCATCCTGAACACCTTTTAAGTGTTTCTTAATTACATACATATGTATTACATAATATGCAATTACACATTCATTCAAATATTTCTTTGTATTCCCCACAGTTGGGTCTTAGTGTGTGTGTGTTGATGGGGGGGGGGGGCAGTGTAGGAGAACTCATTTGTTAAAAACATGCTGTTTAGTTAGAGTTAATAGTTAATAGCTCAGTGTGACAAACATGGGTGCAAAGTGGGGTGACTTTAGTGTGTGGGCTTTCTTTCCTGAATTTAGGTTTGGAGCTGTGTTCCAGAAAGTTCAAATTTAGGGAAATCAGACCTTCAATGTATAGTAAAGTGTTATGTGTGTGTTTTTTTAATTGGAAAGATTCGTGTGCCACTGAAGCGTGCCTATGGGCTCAGGACCCTCTTTCTCTGATGGAATGGCGGTGGGGGCTCCCTGCAGAGAAGAGGCACATGTTTGCTGAGAACAGTGGGATGGGAGGGGAAAGAAGGGATCTGCATCTTGTAAACGTGGCCTAGGACGCCAGCATCTGGGATTCTCCTGGCGTGGTTTGCTGAACCTTGGCCAGACTACCAAAACCTTAAGTCCAGTGAGATTGTGCCAGGAATAATCAGGATTGACCATGGCTGTGGCCTCAGTAAGTACCATGGGCCAAGAGCCTGCAGGGCCTGAGGGAGTGATGCAATTACCACGAGCCGTCCAAGTGGCCTTTATATCAGGATGCATGCATGACCAGCATATGGCTCTTGAGTCCTTCTACCTAAACAAAGATGTAATTGTTATGTCTCTTAAATGGTCCTAGAAACTCACAGGCCTTTTGTGTCTGTGCCAGAGCAGCTCTAATAGTCGTAACTGCCAACACCAAGAACAGAACAGCCCCGCTGGATCTTGGTCCAAAGGAATGATTTACTTAAGAGTCTATCTGGAACCTTCCAACGACAGTGATAAAAACAGTGATAATTACTTAAATCCTCACCCTTGGCTGCCACCACTTCTTGCTGTCTCTGCTGTCCTGGAGGCCCTGAAATTGAATAAGGCAGTGTTTCCACTTCCCCTCCCACACATTCCTTCACCTCAAACGCAGTCTTGGTCTTGCTCAGGCAAACTCAACTTAGCAGGAAGCTAGCCCTTGTGTGGCCCCCACACCACCCTCTGCTAGAAGTCCCGAGCCTCTTCCCTACCCACATCAGGGCCAGGCTCCTGGGACCTCCACCCAGGCCCCCAAGTGATGAACTTTGGTTGGCCACTTCGTAAGTCTAGAGATAAGAGGTTCTCTGCCCATGTGGTATGGGCAAGTGACTATACCCAGGACTCAAGTATGGCCTGGACTGATGAGGCCTAATCTGATTTTCCAACTCACGATATCTTTCTTGTATCCACAGCCACCTAAATTCTATGCTTTGCCCAGTGCTTTCCCTTTATTTTCCCCTTCTCCCCCCACCTCCCCCACCCCCAGCTCCAGTGCCAACTGTTTCTGCCACTCTCTCAAGCCAAGCCAGGTCTTGACTCACTATTCCTCTCTAACTTTTCCAGAAGGAATCACTGTGTCTCAGATCTGAGTTCTAAAGGACGACATGGGTCACTCTCAGAAGGTGCCATTCACTGAAGTAAAACTCTATTTCACAGTTTCATATCCAAGGGCACATTCATTTATCACCCCTACTGAGCTCACTGGGCTCCTATAATTAACACACCATACTTCCCCCTGACTCACTGAGTCAGGGATAGCAGAGCATTTCATTGGCCTTTCTATGCCTGCCTATAATCATTTTACCTGTGACTTTGTGTATCTGTAGTGACCTATTTCAATTCTTTTTGGGGAGAAAGTGAAGGGGTACAAATTCCAAATCCAGCTTTATTGCCATGCTTCAGAGGCTGAACAGGAAAGAGAAGGCTCAACCCTGCTTAGCTCTTCCCAGACCCAGAGGCAGCTGGAGGGCAGCCCTGGAAGTCTTTTCTGCCCAGCTGAAGGGTTAAGGGGAAGGGGAGAGGTCTTTGCTGCTGCTGCCAAGAGGAAGAAGACCTGGAGCAGCAAGCTGACCTCCAGAAGTCAGGAGAGACCCACAAACAGGCAGGAACACCAGACATTGGGAAGGACGGTTGGACTGAGGAAACTCATGGTGTCCCCAAATAGCACTTAGATCTCACAGAGGGGCACCCAATTTCTGCTGGCTCTAGGAACTGAGACCCTAAGGAAGGCACACCCAGACTGAGATGCTCAAAAAGGGTCCCTGACAGCACCCTTGCCCTCTGTTCAGCAAGGATCAGGAGAAGGTCTGGAGAAGCAAGGACAGGGCCTGGGTGGGCAGAAGGCTGAGAGGGGGACCTGGGATTAGCATGAGGAGCAGGGATCATCAGAGCTTGGCATGAGGGGACAATGTGGGGTCCTCTAGCTCTTGCTCTGCTGCTCCTATTGGTGGATAATGGTGATGGGGCTGATGATGTTGCCTATCAAGGTCCAGTACTGGTCAAAGTTGATATATCTATCCTGGTTGATGTGCAGGTTCTGGATGAGCTTGTCAGCAGCCTTCTGGTTGGGTCCCCTGTCTGTCAGTGTGTGGTGGAGGCTTTCTGAAGCATCTTTCTGAAGCTGCTCTTGATGATCTTGTTCTTGACCGGGCTGTGCATAGACATGTGTTTATAGAAGTTTAATACCAGGACCGTGACTGCCGTCTCCAGCTCTGTTAGCAGTCTGCCATCTCACTGCCACTCCTCGAGGGGCCTGCCCTCGGTCCACCTCTTTTTCAGCAAGGCTCTGTGGCCTGGGTTCTGGCACCACCAAGCAGAACTCCTCACCGTCCCACTCCCAGAATGGGCCCACCCCCTCCTTCCCTGCCTGGCTGAGCTGGCTCAGTGGGGAGGTAGCAACTGAGTTCACTCTTGACTTGGCCCTGGGGTTGGCCTGATTCAATTCTAATATTGTCCAAAAGACCTTTGGAATCTTTGTGTAATGTCATAGGTTTAATCTGTCTCCCTAAAAGACAAAAGCATTGCTGGAAAGGTGGTTTTTTTTTATTTTTTTTAAATATTGACTGAAATCTAGAAAATTCGCATGAGGCTTGCTTAGGTACTTAAAAGGAAATCACAGACAACTTTTCTGACATCTAAAAAAAATGTGCTTATATTCTTAAATTAAGAGCTACATTCTGTTAAATGACCACTAAGCCAGCCCAATTATCACTTAAGGAAACAAAGAAATCAAACAAATACAAACACTAGAGGCCTGGTACACAAAATTAGTGCACTCTTTGGTGGGGGGTCCCTCAGCCCAGCCTGTGCTGCACCCTCTTACAGTCCAGGAACCCTGAGAGCGGGGCTAAGCGGGCAGTCAGACATCCTTAGCACTACCACAGAGGGTGGAGAGGCTCCCGCCACCGCTGCTGTGCTCGTCAGCCATGAGCCTGGTTTCTGGCTGAGTGGCACTCCCGCTGTGGGAGCACAATAACCACCAGGTGGCAGCTCCTGCATTGAGCGTCTGCCCCCTGGTGGTCAGTGCTCATCCTAGCAACTGGCCATTTGGTCGATTTGCATATTAGCCTTTTATTATATAGGATCGGAAAGGAAAGCAAACACATTGCTCCTGTCAACACTAAAAATGGATGTTTACTTTAAATATCAGAAATATAGGGAGCTCACATTTTGAAGCATGAATAGTTTCTATGTGGGTAAGGTATTTATGAATGTGATATTTCATTATCA